CCCTTCTCCGGGAACCCTCCGTGAAGGAAATTAGGAGGGTAGTTACTCGGAGGAGGGCTTTCTCAGCGGTGGCGCCCAATCTATGGAATGCGCTCCCCGGAGAGATCCGCCTGGCGCCGTCGTTATTTGTTTTTTGGCGCCAGGCAAAGACCTTTTTATTCAAACGTCATTTTAATTGCTAATATTATTTGCTTACTTTGGCCAGGGCAACTTATTTTATAATGTTAATGTGTTTTATGTTTTTAGTGTTTTATATTTTAACTGATGTTTTGTAAGCTGCCCCGAGGCTTCGGCAAATGGGGCGGCATAGAAATTTTTAAATAAATAAATAAACTGTGTGGTGTAATTGGAAGAATTCCAGCTTGGGCATGTTTGCATGGGAGTTCTTGTGTTCGTAAGAGTTCCTCTGCTGTGCCTGGGACGAGAGACTTCAGTGGGTATAGTGAGAAGTATTCAGTCTGCACTGTGTAGTAAACTAAAATGAAAATAGAAAACTGGAAGTTCCCTACATGCATGCTGTATTTCAAATAATTCAATGGATGTACACTTCATTGTTTCATGTGTCTAGCAAGATTGTGAATGAAGAGGGCCTGCTAAAAAGCGTATAATGTTGTATTTAATTAGTGAACTTGTGAACAGTGTTATATGGTTGGCTTTGCAGACAGAAGCATATCAATGTTCAGGAGCTGTTCCTATGCTGAGCTACAGCTATGAATGGGTGTTGGAAAGACCCTTCACAAGAACACAACACTGAAACAGTTTGGCAGCTTTCATGGGAAGATTCAAGGGAGCTTGTGTCCTCAGGTGTTGTCCAGAAACAAGAATACTCTTGTTGCTTCAGTTACTTTGGAAATACTTTAAAGGCAATTTACAGTAAATTCTGGAAAGTCACCACTACCAAATTCAAGTACTTATCAAGCTATTTATATCTGGCAGGAGCCTTAACTGGACTGTAAATTGGCTATCCTAAAAACACACAATATTACTCGTTCCAAGAACAATTTAGGATTTGCACTATTAAAATCAATGGGAGCATTATTCACTAAATGTTTATAAATTCATCTTTCAGAACCTAAAAGCAGAAAGTTGTCAACACTTTAGTGACTAAATGAGTACATTTCCTCAATGTTTTAAAGGAGGTTTATGAAGCTTGGCTTTAGTGCCCTTTCTTCTTTCTTTGGGTTAGTTATTCTTGGGCTAAGCGCTCGCGCGCGCGCGCGCTCTCTCTCTCTCTCTCTCTCTCTCTCTCTCTCTCTCTCTCTCTCTCTCTCTC